CTTGTTGATCTGCGAGCAATACCCAGAATTCAAGAAATCAAAAGACATATTGCTTTGGGATAGAGTACTGCCAAGATCTTGCAAAAATACTGAGAAATCATGTCAGATTAAAGACTAAGTTCACCTGATTCAGATCGTAATATTTTCAATTACTTGGCATGCATTTGAGAGCTGGAAATTAATAAGAATGATAGAAAAATTGACACCTTTGAGTTTTGATGTTGGAGAAGAACATTGAATAGCCAATGAAATGTAAAATAAACAGACAGCTAGAGTGCTCCCTGGAAGCAAGGATGATGAAGGTTCGTGTCATATGCTTTGGGCATGTTGTTAAGAGAGGTATTTCTTTAAAATGGGGCATTATATTTGGAAAGGTGGAGGGTGGGCGAAGGAGAGGAAGATATTCAATTAGATGGATTGACAGCAGCAATGGGCTCAAGTATGTCTGAGTTGATGAAAATGGCACAGGATTTAGATCTATTGTTGATAGATAGGGTCACTATGAGTACTCAACTTGATGCCACCTGACAACAACAGTATAATTTACTAAGGGAGCTCTAGTTGCATAGTGGATATGGACTTGCGCTGCCAACCCAAAGTCAGCTGGTTAGAGTCTACCACCTGCTCCATGGGGTAAAGATTGGGCAATCTCCTCCTACATGACTTACAGCTTCGGAAATTTGCTGGAGGTTTAGCTATGAATCAGTTTGAACTTCAGGGCAATGAGAGAGAGAGAGAGAGAGAGAGAGAGAGAGAGAGAGAGAGATTGATTCCCTTTGATTCCCTCCAGGCTTCAGTTTTATAATTTTCTGTTCAGACACCAAATTATAGAGTCTTCTTTGCTATCAACAGAGAATTTCCCTCTGCCTCTGATGGTGTCATCTACAGGGACGTCTGCTGCTGACCCAAAGACAGCACTTCTTTGGCACTTCAAATCCATCAGTGGATCTGAGGAAGAAATGTTTGAAGGATTCCACCTCACAGTGAGTGAGGCTGGCTCAGAGCCCTATAATTGGAAGAGGTAGCCTGGAACAAATTCCTTAGGCTGGAGAGGGAGAAGGATATATAATAGGCACTCTGGATTATAATAGGCACTAACAGGCCTCTTCCTAGAATCTTGGAAGAAAGGGAGACATATATACGACATTAAAATATTTCCATTCCTCCACCTCTTTCCATGCTTTCTGAAAATCATCATCATCCTTTTTCATCATCAGTCTTTGTCCAAGTTGAGTGTCCTAAATGTGGAGCTCTCTAGTATTACCTCTCTTGTTATGTGTCATTGAATTGGAACCAAGTCAGACTGACTCTCTAGCAAGCTTTCAATTTACAATGTAAATTGCATAGGAAGAGATTGCCCATCTTTGGCCCATGGAGAAGCTGGTGGATGTGAACCAGGTATTTTGAGTTGACAGTGTAGTTTCTTAATATTAGGCAACCAGAACTCCTTCTATTACTCATCTTCCTCTCTTATTCACCTTTAAGATCCACAGGTTGGACATCTGGGCTGTTTCCATGTTCTTGCGATGGTGAACAATGCTGTTATGGACACTGGTGTACAAGTTTCCCTTTGGGCCTCAGTTCTCATTTTCTTGGGGTATATTTCAAACAATGGAATAGCTCGATCATATGGAATTTCTATGTTCAACTTTTTGAGGAAGTGTCAAACTGACTTCCAGAGTGGTTTTACCATTGTAAAATTCCACCAGCAATGTAAAAGAGTTCCTATCTCACCACATCCTGTCCAGTATATTACTTGCTGTCCCGTTAAACTTTGCCACTGTTACAGGAGTGAGATGATATCTCATTGTGGCTTTGATTCGCATCTCTCTTATTGCCAGTTATTTGGAGCATTTCTTCCTACGTCTGTTGGCCATTTGAATATCTGCAAATTACTACCTAACTTGGGAGGGACTGGAAAGCATTATGGTGAGTGAACTAACTCAGTCCCATAAGGACAAACACTGTATAAAACAATTATTGTAAAATGAGTATGAGGATCTAAGGTGGGGTGAGGGGAGGGTAGAAATAGAGGGGTGAGGATGGAGGAGTAGGGTGTTAATCATTGGATTCCACAATTCATTGGGTGGTGGGGTGAAGGAAATGTGCAAGATCTTCTGTGAAAAACAATGTATTCAAACTTTGTAAATAAATCACAGTAATATAAAAAATTTTAAAAAATCTGCAGGGGTCCTGAGGGCATAGAAATGATGGGAGACCATCCAGATGGCCCCTGCCTGCCCCCATTGTCTCCTGTTTCCAAAATTCCCTCCCACACTCAAATTTCTTGGGTTCTGTTTATCCTGTTGGCTAAAAATATTCTCTCCACTATATTTTCTTTCCCCTTATTATTCAGTTTCCCCTAGTTTTGCTACTTTCAATAACCCATCAAATGACTATAGATTTTCTCACCTCTTTTTAAATAAAATACCTATGTTGGGGAAGCAAAAAGGTTTGGGAGAGGGAGATTTGAACAAGTTCTTTAAACTCTCTCCAATGATTCTTTCCAAATAACGTTAAGTTCCAAAGTATAGAAACCAAGAGGTGCTATTTTGTAATCAAATAAGTCTGGGAAACATAGTTAAATATTTTTTCCCGAATGAAAAAAAAAACCCAACAAACCAACAAAGACCCAACAAACCTCTCAAAGCTTCAGTATGATCATATGCACTTAAAAGAGATTTATTGTTGCATAACAAACTGAATCCAAATTTAAAAGTTTATAACATGAATACACATTTTAAAAAATCTCATACCAGATGAAGAATCCTGATTCAGCATCTGTGATTCAGGATTATGAGAACGGTTTTAATAGTTTTGACTTGGGATCTTTCTTGAGGTTGCAGTCAGCATCCCTCAGGAAGCTGCGTAATTAACTAAACTTGGAAGATCCGCTTGGAGGATGGTTCACTCACTCACCTGGCTGACCAGTTGATGTGAGTTGTCAGCACTGCATTTCAGGTCTTGCCACGTGGATGCTCCATTGGGCTGTTTGACTTGCTTGTGGTACCCAATGAGTGATCTCAAAGAACAGAAAATAATAATATTTCTTCTGTTCTAAGGCCACTAACTTTACTGTAATATTGTTTAAATTATATACAACTCTTGGCCTAGTGGCAAGAAGCTGTGCTGAAATCCTGAAGGCATGAGGTTCTAGACCACCAGCTTCTCTGCAGGAGAAGAATGGGCAATCTCTTCCCAGCTGTGGATTGAGTCTGATTCGATGGTGCAGGACAACAACAACAACAACAGATCATTTATGTTCAATATGGGGAAGGAATACACAAACCAGTGTATGAAAGCAGAAGGTGGGAAGCCCTGAGGTACATCGCAGAAGTGTTATGCTGTTGTTGAAGTGGAGAGCGTGCCTTTGGGATTGCGGTTCAGCTTCTTGCCACGAGGTCACCAGAGCTCCCTACTGTTAGGCACCAATCAAATCGACTATGACTCATGGTGTCTCTGCGATAAGATATACATTTTACTCTACCCTGTGCCATCCTTACAATCTCTGATACACTGCAGTCAACTGTTTTAGTCACTGTGTCAATCCATCTTGCTGAGGGTCTTCCTTTCTTTCTCTAACCCTCCACTTTATGTTTTTCCTTGGATTAGTTCCCTGCTGACAACATTCGCAAAGAATGTGAGAGGAAATTTGAATTCTTTGCAGACATAGGGTAGAGCAATGCATTCTGAATCTCAAAGACTTATTTGACCACAGAAATATTATTCTCAAGACTTACTTGGCATAAAATTGTTCAAAGACACTAGACATCCATGGTACAAGATTTAGGGGGAAACTAGTGAATGGGTCACTGTGAGAAGTAAGGTTTTGGAGGCTCAGAAGAGGTGGGGGAGGTGTGCCTGGAAAAGTAGTTCTGGGAAATGACAATTAATTGTACACTATGTACGGTGCAGGCTGTAGAAGACCGAAGACAGAACTCAGGTCCAGTTTGGATTCGGAGGCTCAGTGGCCAACTCTTAAGAAAGGGATAGCACAAGAATTCTCGGATAGTTCCACAATACTTGGGATGGTTGATACTCTTGTAAGCGGTTTACCTCCTACTTTGGAAGCTAAGAAAAGAAAAAAAAATGTTATTACTGAATCTTTAAAACGTGGCCTGGAGTCAGACTATCTAGAAGTTTAGGTCATTTCAAGCCCTAAGCAGCCTCAGGGGACCACACTCTGTGGCATTGTATACTGTTTTTACCCATATGAGCTGTGCTCACTATGCAAGGTCACAAAGGCCCCATTCTTCTCTGTTTAATTTTCACAGCAGCTTGTTTGCAGACGTCCGAGCCTTTGCGAACAGGAAGTCTTCATGTCTGGAAGAAGTTCTCTCCTCAAATGTTTTTATTATCCTATCAATGGCGTAGGGACGGGTGGGTGAAGTGGGAGGTTCAGGAATGAGAAAACGAAGAATGAGGTATAGGTAGGTAATAGAAAGAGAAAAGAAAGATGCGTCAGAAAAAGTAAATAATGGTCATACACACTTTACAGAATTGCACACCCAGTTAGGGAAGCCCCTCCCATGCAAGCCCCGCGGACGAGGACTGTACTTTGGTCACTTTTGGCCACACGGTGGCGCGCTTGGCGCCACCTTCGTCGCAAAACTGAGAAAAGGAGGCGCAGGGAGGGAGAGGGGAGCCTGCCCTGGCCCCGAACCATCCGAAAACCCACCCCAAAGCAATTAAAACCGGGGACAAAGAGCTCTCAGCTCACAGTGTCTCAGCTGCTAGACCTCGGCATACCCTCGGGAGCGGCCCGCCAGCTGTACGGGAGCAGCAGCCCCTTTAAAGAAAGCGGAGTTACGAGATCGGGATTCTTGAAACCTGAAACCCAGAAACAGAATCAGAGCGGAAACTCGGAAACTCAGAGGCTCCTGGAGACAATTGTTCCCGGGGAGCTAAGGAGGTGCAGGCGAGGAAGGACCGCGCCGAGGCCCGATGGCGCGCCTTTGAGCGCTGGGAGCCCCTAAGTCAGTGCACCGTCAGCTGCGAGCATGGCCCCTGCAGGGCCGAGAGTCCCAGGCTCTGTCCTCAAGTGCCTGACTCTGGCCGCTTTTGTGCTGCTCTGCGCCGGCCAGGGAGGACTCAGAGAGGACGGGGGGCCAGCCTGCTACGGCGGGTTCGACCTATACTTCATTCTGGACAAGTAAGTGCCCCGAGTTGTCCCCTTTGCCGGAGCCAAGGTGGCGTTATCCCAGTAGGGCTGGCAAGCGTCCCGGGCATCCACAGGGGCCATGGCCAAGCTGAGGGGGCCCTGGGGCCGCGCCCATGTGGGGGGTGGCCGCGCCTGTGTCGGGGTGGCACCCATCTCAGGGCGAGGTGGGGTGAGCTGGGGAAGGGAAGACCCTGGGGCATGCAAATTGGAGGATGCTCTTTGCCCCTTATATTTCTAGGGACCCTCCTCAATTGCTTTAGAAACTTTGGTAAGAAGGAATAGAGAGATAGAACTTGGAGGCAATTGTAACTTGGAGTCTCGTCAAATAGAAAGCCACCCTAGCTGACCCTCCAGTGGAATTTCAGATGCCAGGCAGGGGATTGTCCATGCTGAGTGGCTGGAGTATTCGAACCTTATACCGTGGGATTGGTAACGCATTTCCTTATCACTCTGTTAGTCACCAGAGCTCCCTAGGTGCTAACTTTACCAGCATGGGCTTTTAAGTAGGTCTTAAGTCTCTTAAAAACACTGTCCCACATAAGGCATTTGCTTTTGTTCCTAACAACCAATTATAGCACATCCTGACTGTGCAGTTAATGAAAATACAGTGTAGGGTTTCTCCGTCTCAGCACTGTTCATATTTTGGCCCAAAAAATCATGGGGTGGGGTAGGGGAGGGCTGACCTGTGTTTTGTAGAATGTAGGATGTTTATATGTTAGACTTGCCGGGCTCTTGGCCATTCTTTCCCAGGCTACCAGGGCATTGAAGGAGCCCTGGTTTTTCTTACTGAGATGGAGGTTTGTTACCACTTGATTTAGACCAATCATATTCTCCCCAAACCCCCTTAGATTTGCCATACCATAGTCATTCAAGGACGATGTTTGCTATCTACTGAAACCCATCTTCAATAATAAAAATCCATTCCTGGGAGACTCTTGCTCTTTAATCCTGTGGGAGTTTCCAGTGCCAGGAGCAGTGCTTGCTGGTACAGCGGTGCAGAGATGAATTTCACAGCCTGGAAAGTATTTGGGAGTTGGAAAAAGGAACCCTGCAAAATAATCTGGCCAGCTAGACTCGAAATGTGCTTCACAGTTGCCTCAGGAGTTTGCTTTTTCTGTAAAGGCTGTTTTGAACTCCAGATTATTTGGATGAAAAGTGAGCTCACTTCCTTGCAGATTTATGAGAAGGTGGATACTGAAAATATACTCCATTACTAAGAAATGGAATTTCTTTTGTTACTCTCGACTGTAAGTACTGGCTCACAGTTTCATAGTCTGAAAACAGAAGATGTCCATCATTTCTGCTTTTGGAAAGTCCAGTTCAGAGGGGAACATACAGGCAGGCCTGGGAAAATCAACAGCAAGCAGCACCATGTTCCTGAATATTTCTTGGTACTGGAGAGAGAAAATTCACTCAAAATTTCTTTCAAAATGAAATTCTGAAACTTAAAGTTTAGGGGAAAAGAAATTTTGGTGGTAGCGGTATTTGATAAAAATAGGGTTAGCTGAAAGAACAAAGAGACGAAAAAGGCCAAAATATTTTTGGACAAGAATAATGAAGCAGTACCTCTATATAGTAGGAATGATACAAGGAGAATTGATGACTTTGAGCTGTGGTGCTGGAGAAGAGTGTTGCATATACCGTGAATGCTAGGAGAAAAAACAGGTTCATCTTAGAGAGGGTGAAACTAGGCTGCTCCTTGGAGGCAAGCGACTCAATGACACATAACAACAACAACCACCACCATTATATCCTGACTAGCAGTTGCTATTGAGCTGCTTCTGACTCCTGGTGTTGCAGTGTGTGTCAGTGTAGAACACACCTAGAATTTTGTGTGTTCTGAAAATCCTAAGTACTTCTGAATAAGCTCTAACCTCTCATCTTTCCTTTAACAGCTGAGTTTGTTAACCATTTGCACCACACAAGGACACCCAGTACAAATGAATTATAACAAAATCATAAAAGCCACATGACAAATGGACAGAATAGAAAACCTAGGAATAGGTTTGAAAAAATTTGGAGGAATTTCAAATGATTGGAGCATGAATTCTTTTTAAAAATGGTTCTTAGACAAATAAATGGCTGACAGTTTGGGAAAAGAAAAAAGATTAGGTTTCTATTTCATAGTCACCCAAGCAAAATAAATTCCTGAAGGATTGAAAACTTTAAAATTTAAAAGATTTTAAAGATTTAAAATTTAAATGAGATAATGAAAGTTGTTGTATGTTGTTGTTATGTGCCGTCGAGTCGTTTGTGATTGATAGAGATCTATTCAATAGTCCTGAAACCTGCTATATCTTGTGCCAACTTTACCATCTCTGACACACATATTCTCATTAACCCAGTCACTGATTCCATCCATCTCATCGAAGGTCTTCCTCTCTTGCACTGTCCCTCCACCCTTCCAAGCATGATGTCCCTCTCTAAGGACTGAGCCTTCCTTGCAACATGCCCAAAGTATGTCAGACGAAGCCTCAAAATTTTTACCTCCAAGGAGCAGCCTGGTTTCACCCTCTCCAGGTATAAATGAATCATTCATTGTCCTGGCATTCCATGGTATATTCAGTACTCTTCTCCAGCACCACACCTCAAACGCATCAATTCTCTATCATCTTTAGTCATTGTCCAGCTCTCTGATGCATAACAAGTAATTGCGAAGACTATGGTCTGGATCAGGCGCACTTTAGTCTCCAGACTAAGGTTGTGCTCTTTAGTACTGAATATGGCTGTAATCTTAGGTTCTGAGCTTCTAAAATAAAACAAGGGCAGAAATGAAAAAGAAATATGGAGTGATTTTAATATGTCACAGTTTTGCTTTTCTGCAAGTGAAAAAATGCTATAAATAAAATGAAAAGGTAACTAACAAGTTACAAAACATAAAACTTTTAAAAACATGTATTATTCTCAGATGATTGATTTTCGTATGTAAAATCTGCAAAAAACAAAAACAAAAACAAAAACAAAAACAGGTCATCCCAAAAGAAAACAGGCTGCTGCTTCTTGTTATACGGTATTAAGTCAGAACCAACTCATAGCTAACCCTCCCATGGGTTTTCAGAGGCTGTACAATTGCATAGGAGATGACTCATCTTTTTCCCTCTGAGCAGCTGGTGGTTTTGAATGACCTTCCTTTGTTTGGGTTGGTAGTGCAACTCCTTATTACTAAGCCACAAAAGGAAATAAAACCCATAAATTTTTGTATGTATGACAATAAACAAACTAAAAATTTCTACTTTATTAGCAATCAAAGAAGTAAAAACAACCAAAAAAGATAAAGACCTTATTAGATTGGCAGAGATTTTTTTAAGTTTTTGTACAGAAAATAATTGGCCAATATATAAGGTGGGACAATCAATGTAAATTGTTATGGTAATAGCAGCCTAGAAATCAAAAGATGTATTACTTTGGGAAAATACACTTTCAAGGATTTTTCTAAGGTGTTAAAGAGCAATGATATCAGTTTCAAGACTAAGGTGCACTTAATTCAAGCCATGGTCTTTTCAGTTACTTCTTAGGCATCTGAAAATAGGACAGTAGCTAAGAATGAAAGAAGAATTGATTTCTTTGAGATGTGGTGTTGAACGAACAGATATATTGTGGAGAAAGTGCAGTAACGGTGCTTCCTAGAGGCAAGAATGTTGAAATTAGTCTCACATATTTTGGGCATGTTGTTAGGAGGGACTAGTCCATGGAAAAAAGATATCAAGCTTGTTGTTGCTGTCAGTCCACCGGCAACTTAAAAGCGACAACCTGATGGGAGTAAGAATGATGGAAACGCCACTCCGGGAGAAGATCAGAGAGCCAATCCAGCTCGACTTTATTAGGATAAGCACTGCACTTATATACACAGGAAGACAGGGTAGGGTGGGCTTACAGACGTAGGGCATGTGGATTGGTCAGGAGAACCTCAGCCTCTTGCGGATCGCTCCCCACTCCTGGCTCAACAGACATGGCAGCCGTCTTCCCAGGTGGCGAGCTTTCTCGCCAAACACAGGGGAGTTTTCTCCACCCCGTATTAAAGGCCGTTGGGAGGCTTGTACCTGTCTGGAGCTCAGGCGACCCGTCCTGGCCAGAGGCCTTCCCTTCCTCCACAATGTTCCGCAACAGATTGTAAAGGTAGAGAGTCAGTGAAAGAGAGGAAGACTCTCAGCAAGATAGATTGACATAGTGTTGTAGCAATGAGCTTCAGTATATTAATGATGATGCAGATGGTCAGGTAAAGACAAGGTTCAGATCCATTGTTCATGTTGTTGTTGTTACGTGCCATCGAGTCACTTGCTACTCATAGTGACCCTATGTACAACAGCCCTAAACCCTGCTCTGTCCTGTGCCAATCGCACTGTCTCTGACACTCCCATCCCAATTACCCCAGTCACTGAATCAATCCACTTCAAAGAGGGTCTTCCCCTCTCCTGCAACATACCTCCACCCTCCCAAGCATGATGTCCCTCTCCAAAGACCTCCTTTTTTTT